CTTTAATTCTCTCAAGAGAAAAACCTTGTATCTACAGCAGGGAAAATAAGAATATTGTGTAATCCTAAGATTCATAAAGTATAAAGAATCTCTAGCTGAGAAGATGATCAACAGCAGTAGGTGGGTACGTGGGTGGAGTTAGGCTTTAATTAAAGCAAGAACATGAAAAAAATATTAAAGAAATAGAGGATAAAGAGATATTTGTTAATCATGGAGAAAGTGGAAAAAGTATGGGATGGAAAAGAACGACACAAGTTCAGAGGAAGCACAAAGTTAAGTGACGCAGAATGCTTCGCTGACCAAGAAAGCAAGAATGTAAGGGAGCACCTGGATTCTGGGGAAAGTTTCAAACGGAAGCTTCCATGCACACAGAGTTCTAGATTCCTGAGACTTTCTGTTCCTAGGTTCCTCCAGAGTGAACAACAGGAAAACTTTTGGGAATCCCAAGCAGAGACCTGCAGGTTGCTATGTATGGAGCATATATTTAGTAACAGTTACTGAATTAAAGAATGAATACCCTTCATGGTACCAATGTAATATTAGGAAATGATCTCAAATAATCTATAATTAATATTAGATTTATCTGAAGATGATCCCTTGAATTTAACTTCCCAAAGTGTCATTTACTACCTGACTTTGTCCCTAGGCAAATTAATGCGCTGTGCAGTGAGTGTGCTAATTACCTTCAAACTTCAACTATCACTTAACAGCGGGTCTAGGTAAATAGTGCTTACCTGGGTCAAAATTATCACCAAATATTCTCTTGGCAGGAATCTTCAGAGCCATAGCAGGAAACTGTTTCTTTAACTAGAGTTTTTAAAAATAGTATTACATGAACTAAGTTTATAATTCTTATGCAGGCATTAAATCAAATATAATCTGCTACTAAGAAAATTCATAAGACATGCTTTCACACACAATGTACAATCTTTAACTATACCAATAAAATACCAGAGACTGACTAATCATTCCCATGTGGACCCAATAAAATGCTTGGTATCTGTCTGACCTTAGATAAGTTACTTAATATTGCTCTTTAAAACAAGGATAATTTGAGCAAGAATTTTACTTGTGTGGCCTAAAGGAAACTGCCTACATAAACTGCTTAAATTGGAACTAAGCATTTAGGTTCTGAATGTATTACCCACCATTTTTTTTTTTGGGGGGGGGGATAGGGATTGAACTCAGACCCCTGAGCTTGCCAGGGAAGCGCTTATTCCACTGGGCCATCTTCCCGGCCCCATTACCCACCATTTATTAACTCAAGAACAGATATGCTATTTGTGTTTCTTGACTAGATAGACTTGACTTTTTGTCACCAGTTGTTTTGTTTTAAATATCCTCTTTTAGCTTTCTCTTTATTAGTATCTAAAAAACTTACAGATTTTGTTTTCAGAGACGTAAACCTGGCTCTGGATAAATATGGGGCAATAAAATCATAAAAATGGGATGTACTTTTATTATCAACATAATCCATGCTTATAATCCATATACACTACATATCTATAGTTTTTAAATATATACTATAGTTTTATATATCCACATATTAAAAACTGATCTAACTGGCAACTGTCAGGACATTTAAAGAAATAAGAGTGTATTAATCATTGTACAATATGGAAATGGTATTAGCAAAACCAAGACTAAAAAGATCCTTTTTAAAAACACACACACACACACACACACACACACGCATGCATGCACACCCTACACTGTAAAGGGAAGGGAAGGGAGAGACTGGGTGATTAAAAGATGCTTAAAACACTTATCAACCAGTCACTTAAATAGTAACCAGATATCTGGTATTAAAGGCATTTCTGTTAATTTACTTTGAGATGTATTCATGATATTGTGTGAATATTTTATTTTTAAGAATCTTTGGGCTGGTGAGATGGCTCAGTGGTCTAAAGCACCTACTTAGAACAAACTCAGCCCACCCTGGTGGGCTGAGCTGGCCACACATACACACACACATACACACACACACACACACACACAAATAAAAAATAAAGTTAAGAATCTTTATCTTTTAGAGATATACACTGAAATATTTACAGATGAAATGACATGATATACAAGATCTGGACAAAATTATAATAGGCTAAGAACAGAGATGAAACAAATGGTCTTATATTAGTACTTAAGCTGGCTGGTAGCTTTACATTATTTTCTGTATTTATACTAGTCTGTCTACTTCTATATGCATTTGAAAATTTCTATTAATGAAAAGTTAAAAATATAAACTATGGCCATAAAACACACATATAAGACAGTAATTAAAATACATACATACTAGAAATTGTTTTGTCTTGTCTTTTATTTTTAAAAAACTACACAGAGAAAGATTTCATCTCTCAAACTTAGAAAAATCCAGTGCAGGCTTAACCTATATTCTAGTTTTAAAGACCACACATATTATTCTTTTTCTCTTTGTTCTTCACCATGAAGCAGAATTTGTATTACACATATTATATATAATTTGAAAATTGCAATATTATTTTTTAAAGTTATACATACATGAGATACAGATACAGAAAATTAAAATGGAATAAATGAAAATCCAGAGAAATGAAGAAAACATGATAAAAATTAAGCTACATGTTAAGGAAATTTTCTGCAAAAAGCTTAAAATAGGAATTATCTCATGTAAGAGAGATGAAAGTGTTCATGGGGAGAGATGGGCCTGAACAAGTTTTCCTATTTTAGGTTTATGTTTAAAGATACTCAATCCACCTAATTAATCACTAGCTATCTAAGTCACGAAGCCATTATGATAATCCACCACTAAAATGGTTCTCCACTCTGCTGACTGAGATGATATTCCCCATGTCCTTTCCCCACATTTCCTACAAAGGGTGTGTTGAAGGTAAATGTAGCCTAGAAAGTCTTCTAAGCAAAAGGGAGAAGTCTTTAAATTTAAGTTATGAGGGTCTGGGAGATGGCTCAGTTGAATAAGCGCTTCCCTGGCAAGCGCAAGGGCCTGAGTTCAATCCTGGTTCCGCATAAATAAATAAATAAATAAATAAATTTCAGTTATGAGGGCTTCGCTGAACAAAATTTTGGTCATATGAACTGTGTGTATGTATGTAATTTAATTGTCATGTTATTTTTACCTAAGCGCAACCTAGGTATATGAAGCAAAGAAAAAAGAAAAGGTCAACATGTAGATAATGGGTATTCAATTGCTTTATAGAGAGCTGTTAACACCACCCAGACTCTTAATAAAAAAAATTTACATTCTGCAAATGTAACTTCAGTTATAGTCAAAAAGGACTATCTCAATAGCATCTGATTAAGCAATATTTAAAACTACAGTACATTTGATTTTATAGACATTAAAAAGAAACAGAAGAAAACAGTAAAATGCTAACCGTTACCTGCATATAACATTCTGGATACTTTTTACATTTAATCTACTTTTATATTCTTCAGTTATTCAGATTTTCTACAATATGTACTGGTTTTACATGGGAACAAATAAACATCATTTTAGAAGTATGTAAGCCAAGCGTGGTGGCACATGCCTGTAAGACCAGCACTCAGGAGACTGAGGCTCAAGGATCATCCGTGAGTTGAAGGCCCCATAAACAAGTTCAAGGCCAGCCTGTACTGCATAATGGAACCCTGCCTTAAAAAATGACATGAAATGAAACACTGTTCAAGTGAAGTGAAGTGAAATTGAAATATTTTTTACAGTTTAATTTCCATGGAGCAAGTGATTTAAATTTCACTTGGAAAAAATACAGTGAAATTTTAAACAAGATAAATCAGAGATTTAATATAAAACATAAAACCTGTAATCCCAGCATTTAGGAGCCTAAAGCAGGAGAATCATCAGGAGTTCAAGGCTAGCTTGGCTACACAGTGAGTTCAACGTTATCTTCCCCCCTAAAAAAACACAACAAAATCCCACAGAAGTAATGCTGTAGCCAGACGATATTTAAGTACCTTCATTTCCTTCATATGCACAAAGTTAACAAATGATCAGGTACAGATGTATATACCTGTGTACCCTTATTTTTAAAATTAGGATACAGTGTTAAAAAATGAAAAACAAACATAAACCTAAAATACAACAGAATTTATCCAAAAGATTCCTAATCATCTACCATTCACTGAGCAATGACACTGGCATATCTCTATTTATTATGAGAACATAAGGTACTTAATAGAATTTAAGGCACAATTTCTTTTCTTTTTGTTTGTTTGAAAGAAGGTCTCACTATACAGTTCAGCCTGGTCTTGAACTTACTATGTAGGTCAGGCTAACCTTGAATCTGAGGCAGTCTTCAATCAATACCTCACACTTTTAAAAAATTTAACTGAGGTGAAGCTTGGAAACCAGAGCTGTCCTAACCTGGGGTTCTATAAAAGTCAACACAGGAGTCATTCTTTGGCCTCGTTCACCTGGTGAGATCGGGCCTGATGAGTTAGAATGGGCCTGGGGGTCTCTCTGCCTACTTTAGAAAGTACTGTACATACAACTACAGATACTAAATTATGAAATGTCTTTAATATCTGAATATTATCTTTATGTCTCTATGTGTGTATAAGTACTGTCTTTAGTTACGTAGTCATCTGATGATCTCTTTCTTCACACTCAACCCCCACCACAGGCCGCTGTTGAAAGTCAATAATCATTTCAGTTAATACGGACTCTAAGACCTAGCTCCAAGAATGAAATGCGGAAGAGAGTCTGGCTCCTGATAGACTTTCAGATCTAAATTTTATAGTTGGGCAGTTCAGCCACAAATATAATGAACAGATTTATTTGTCATACTTAATAACATTAAAATATACTTTGAGCTGTTCATACAGTTCTCTTTACTCAGGGCTTATCTGGACTGCTTAACAGTACTTTCTCCATCCTTTTATGTAAGAATTCCAAAGGCAGGAAGGATGCTTCTGAAGAATCCCTTTTCTGTTTCTTTCTATATGTGACTACTGATTTAATCATTCAAACAAATAGATTTTTGAGGATTTTCCCAAGTGTTTTGTTTTCAATAGAAATGCTTCAGACTATTACTTACAGTGTTGTACAGTTTGTCAAACTCTGCATATCTCCTGAAGACAAACCACTCGCTCCTGCCCACAGAGACTAGAACTTTATAAACCTATGGAAATAAAAATTACCATAATTTAATAAATTGACTGCAAAAACCCTTATTAAAATATGTATAAACTCTGATGTCATTTGCTCTTTTTCTCTAGCAGTATTACCTTGAAATTATAAAGTATTTTCAAAAGTGATACTGGGCACAGCAAAAACAGTCAACTATAAGTTGTCTTCCTTCTAGGTCAGTGATAGCAAACCTTTTAGAGACAAGTGCCCAAACTGCAACCCAAAATCCACTTATCTATCACAAAGTACTGCAATTAAACCTATTATAGTAAGGCTTTAGTTTAGGGGAAAAAACCCTCATACATTAACATCTTTTGTCTGAAAAGAAAAACAACACACATGCCATAGATTTGCCATCACTGTGCTAGGTTATCTTTTACATAGTAATTTTCTTTCTTTTTTTTTGTATTTTAGGGAAGAGTCTACAGGGTGTTCAGGGTCTCACTACTAGATAGGACTCGCAGTTATCTGCCTGTTTACAGCCTCCCAAGAGCTGGGCTTACAGGCGTGAGCCACCACGCCCAGTCTCAATGGCCCTCTCAGTGTGCCCGGGGGCAGGGCTGGCACAGCAGGCCCAGGGATGGAACCCCCGGCCCCTGTACCTGCTTGCCATAGTAATTTTCAAACAAAGAATTCACCCACAGATTTTCTAACTCCATCTCAATGTGTTTCATATTTTCATATATCCAAGTTGAATACTTATTATTTTTGAGTGCTTCTTTAGTGTCTGTCTTGCCCTACAAGAATGTTGGCACAACTATGGTTGTATCACCCTGGCTTCCTACTGAAACTCCAGTGCCTGTAATAGTACATATGGCATAATATAGAAATCCACTGAAAAAATATAATGTACAATTGGTACAAGTCAAGACATCTTAGATTAGAAGGCTGACATAGGAAGATCAAAAGTTCAGAGCCAGTCTGAGCAACTCAGCAAGATATTGTCTAAAAATAAAAAGGACTGGAGATGTATCCCAGCAGTCTCTGGGTTCAATCACCAGTACCCCTCATCACCAGTACCCCCCACCAAACGTGTGTGTGTGTACCTGTTAGAAGCCCACTAGAGAATATATAAAAGATGCATGAAAACAAGCCTATAAAATATTAATGACTACTTAGTTATACAATGTCTATTTTTTGCTAAGTATAATTCAATGCTGCTCTGATTTACATCTGGGTACCCACCCCCAAAGCCTTATGAACTCAAAACGTGGGCTTTTAAAAGATGAATGGTGTGGGCCTGCCAGATAGTTCAGTGGACTTAAGTGCCTGCTTAGGCAGATGCAGGAACCAGGGTTTGATCCCCGGCATGCTGAGCCAGCCCCGCCCCCGGGGTACAATGAAACAGCGATTGAGACTGGGTATGGTGGCATGTGCCTATAATCCCAGTGCTTGGGAGGCTGAAAACAGGAGAATCACTATGAGTCTGATCTGTGTAGTGAGATCCTGTACTAAAAATACCAACCAAATAAATAAAGATGAATGGATTATGGGTGTGATACAGCTGACCTGCTGTTAAAAGGGGTTCTGGTTGGACAAGGTGGGTCACTGTGGGCATGACCTGGCAGGGTATGTCTCCCTTCCTGGTTCCATCTTTCTCTCTCTACTTCCTGTCCAACATGAGGTAAACAGCTTTTCTCCACTCAGGCCATTTCTTCATGCCAGTTGTCTGGAACTGGCTGACCATGCAAGGACTGAAACTTCTAAAATGTAAGCCCAAATGCATCTCTCCACCTTTAAGTTGCAGGTGTTGGGTATTTTTTTCCCCAGTGACAAAGAAAATGACAGAACCAAGGTTCTTGAGAACTGAAGACCGCACCATAGTGACCTAAAAACTAGGACATGAACTTCGTATTCCTTTCATTCAGTAGCAATTCAACAAATGCTTAGGGAACATCTACTATCTCTATCCTAGGAACTGGGGAAACAGTAAAGTCCTTGCTTCAAAGAATCTTGCATTCCAGCAGGCAAGGCATATTAAAAAATAAAACACAAACACAAAATATGTCAGGCGGTGATAACAGCTATTAATTTTAGTATAGTAAGTAGGACAGAGTAAAAGGGGTAGGATGCAGTGTGAAGGTGCTATTTTATATTTGAAGTAGCCAAGAGAAGCCTCTTTAATGAGGCACAATTTGAAATTTAAATAAAGTAAATGAACAAGGTGGCATGGACAGGGCCTCTGAGAACTCAGGGTACCAGGAACAGTAAAAGTGCTTTGAAAGGCCTTCCAGACCCTTTCCCAGGAGATACGGAAATGCCTCTATCCCCAAAAGCCACATCCCTAAGGTAACCAAATGCCCATATGTGCAATATAAGTCCCAAAGGGGAAGATGACCTAAAGGCAGTGAAAAAAAGAAAAGGAATCTGGGCACAAGTTTGAGGCTGGCCTTGGCTACTCTCACAAAAAAACAAAAAACAACAAATACAAAGAGGGAAAAAGGAAATATCTGCATACACAACTGTTTTATTATGTTTATCTTCAATGTGATATTACTAAAAAATATGCTTATGTTAAAGCGTAGCAAATGCGTATGTTTAAAGATAGCCCTGTACAAAAAAAAAAAAAGTTAACAATTTTAGGGGCTGTGGAGATGGCTCAGTGGAATAAGTGCTTCCCTGGCAAGCGCGAGGGCCTGAGTTCAATCCCCAGTTCCTAAAAAAATAAATAAATAAATAAATAAATAAATAAGATAAAATAAAGATAGCCCTCCAGTACAGAGCCGAGGGCAGACAGACAGCCAGACATTCATACTCCAATCTCTCTGGTCTTGCTTCAGGGCAGGACATAGGAGATGTGTTTGTTCAGGAAGGGGGAGTACAGGAATGATAGAATGTTTCCCTGTACCCTAAGACCTTGGGAGAAAACCACCACTTGGGGATACTCAGGCTCCACTAGTTAAAGTAGGGTACAATGCCCAGAGAGTTAAATTTTACTCTCTAGCTTTCCTCAACTCCCATGTGCCATGGACCAGAGTTAAAAGTCATTTGTCATGAGGCCCAACAAGTGAATCCCTCAACAGAGTATAGATGTGGGCCACTGAGCCAAGAACAAAAAAAGATGTATCAGAGCCTCTTTAGCTCTAAGAGCCAAGGCACTGAAGGGGCACAGAGCACCTCTAAAACCAATGAAGAGATCCCATGTTAGTCTAGCAACTGCAGATGCCCATGGGTGAACCATGTCCCACAGCTGGATATTGTCCAGACCAGCCACTCTACAACCAGAACAGCAAAGATCTAGAACAGTGATGGTGTGTAAACCTTTTAGAGTTTCTAATGATAAAAAATAGCTGGCTGTGGCACAGATGCCATACGTTTGTCACCACTGAACTGGAACAATGATAAAAAATACAACATCTTCAGTAAGTTATGAAGTCAGTCTTCTCAGCAGACACTGTAAAAGGGAACATTCCATCTCCCACAAATCAAGATACCAATTTGGGGAAGTAAAGTGGGGAAAAAGAATTGTAACAGCCTGGACATTTTTATCATGATCAAACTACGTGTTTCATGCATTAGGTTATAGTCTGGGGATATAGCTCAGTAGCACAAGGGCCTCCCTAGCAAGTGCAAGGTCCTGAATTCAATTCCCAATTTTTTTAAAAAAAAGCACTAGGTTAAAATTAGTGGGAGCAGAAAGGCACTTACAGGGAAGACCAGGTCAACTACAGATAACATAATGACACTTTTTTCTCTGTATATAGCAACTGGACTACTAGCATTAAGATATTTTTATTTCATTATAGTCAGCAAAGTGACTACTCATCAATAATACTCACTGATAACACTGATTCAACATACATGTTTTCTATAGTCCTACAGTAGATACTAGTGTTAAAAAATCAAAATCGATGGAGACTCCTTAGAAAAGTTGGACTGGAAATCCCCTTTAAACCAGCTATTCCTCTACTGAGAATTTTCCCAGAG